TAATAAACTATGTGTTAAGTCATTCAATTATTGTTATAATTTCATATTTATTCTTTAATTATTCTTATAAAATCATATATAACATTACGTTTTGATTATATTTTAATCACTCATAGTTAAAAATAAACAAACTGATGATATGATATTTTTTTCTTAATGATGATGTGGTATTATTTTATGGTGACACGTTAACATCATTATTAATTTTTAAATGGTGGATAACCAAAACATAATAATATCTATGATATAAAAAACAGTTGGGTAACGAAATATGTATTTTACCTTATTTTTTATTAGGGATAGACTAAGAAGATGGGGCCACACTTGGTAATGATTGTGGATCGAACTTTTAATCTATTTGAATTTGATGTTAAAATTAAACTTCTCCATTTATACTAGATGTCATAATGTGATCTAGATTTAAGAGGACTTCACTCGACCCAAAACCTAATTGATATGAAAGTTAGGTCACATACTGTGCATTCATTGATGACAAATATTCTTACGTACGTTAATAATCCCACCTTAAAATGAGAGCACAATACAACTTTAAATATCTATTTTGAAAGATAAAAAATGTTAAACACTTAAATAAGAAGAGATGAATAATTGGACACCTATATTGGAGTTAAGCCAAAATATTTCGCATAGGATATCGGCCTCAGTTGGGAGTAGCCTCGAAGAAACGAAGCTTACCGAGAGAGAACCGGCGTTTCGAAAATGGCTTCCATCAATGCCCGACGCTCTTTATCAACCCTCATAAGCAGCGCCCTCTCTTCTCCTTCTTCCCCTCTTTCTTCTTCCTCTTCTTCTCTCTCTTCTCGTTCTCGCTTCACATTTGTTCTCCTCAAAAACTCCCCAGTTTTTATCCCCGAACCACTCAAGATCCTGACCCAAACCAGGACATCCGGATCCGGGTACTCTCCCTTGAACGATCAATCTCCGAACTGGAGCAACCGACCGCCAAAGGAAACGATCCTTCTCGACGGCTGTGATTATGAGCATTGGCTTATTGTTTTAGAGTTCACGGAAGACCCAAACCCTTCCGAAGAAGAAATGATCGATGCTTATGTCAAAACCCTTGCTTCTGTTGTCGGCAGGTTAACTAAACTCCTTTAAATTTCATGAATTTTTTTTTTGGGGGGGGGTTTAAATTTGAGAATTGGGTTTTCTTATTTTTGCTTTTTTTTTTATGTTGCGGTGAAGAGGAAGCGAAGAAGAGAATGTACTCTGTTTGTACTACGAGGTATACTGTGCGCTTTGATTTCTGAGGAGTTGTCTTATAAACTTAAAGGTAATTTCATTTGGTAGGGGTTTACGGTTTTTGTTAAAAGTAAGAATTAACATTGATTTTCAGGGTTGTATAGTGTTTTCTTTAGCTGTTTCAGGGTTTAGGGTTTTAAAGTAATAATCAATCCTTTTCATACAATTGGGATTTTGTTTCTCGTTGACACTCAGCTAGTGTATAGGATTTCCTCGTGTACTCTGGGTTTTGCCCGATTCGTAATGTTTCGAACAAAGATTACGGAGGTGGGTAGTTTTCCGAATTCGAGGGTTTAAAGCTTGATGGTTTGCTTGCTTATTTCTGGGTTGAATTTACGAGATAATGTTGTGAGAAAAAAAAATTTACGAGATAACGCGTTCCAACAATTAATTATTGAGATAAGGTGTTTGCTACAGGTCGAAATGAAGGTCGCCGGGTGATCTAGGCGACTAATGAAGGTCTCCGGGTGGTCTGGGCGACCAATGAAAGTCGCCAGCCATGCCATTTGAGTTTGGGAAAATGTAGTGTTAACAATAATTGTTTGGGTTAAATGCAAATTTGGTCCTCATAACTTTGCACTCTCATACATGTATTTATTTTAGTCACAAACAATTATAATTTAGTCATACATGTTTTTTGTTTATCCTATTTTAGTATGTATTTATTTTAAAATTGATTATTGGGATATCTTGTTTTGTATTCAATAATTTTTATTTGTTCTACGTTTATTTATTTCGAGTATTTTTCACTATTTTTTAGTTTTATTTAGTTTTATTTTATATTGGAAAAATTTGCAAAATAATATCGTTGGTAGGGAAAAATAAATACATACTAAAATAGGATAAACAAGAAACATGTATGACTAAATTATAATTAAACATAAATACTAAACAGTGGCTAAAATAACATGTTTACAAATTTCATGGCCAATTTTGAAAATTAAGGAAAATATATAAAACACATGAAATCAGTGATTAAAATGAAATAACTAAAAATATTATGATCAAAATGAAGCATACACAAACTTGACAGAATAAACAACTAGTGACTAAAATATAATTATTAAAATATACATGCCTGAAACAAAACATTAAAAATGTCACTAAATGATTAAACAAATAGATTACAAAGCATAGGGGATCGAAAATGCTATTATCCCTTAAATATTAAAACACGCGTATGAGAGTGTAAAGTTGTGAGGACCAAATTTGCATTTAACCCAAACAATTAGTGTTTGACTAAGATGAGAACACTTGTGAAACAGCATTGGTCGCCCAGACCACCTGGCGACCTTCATTGGTCGCCCAGACCATCTGGCGACCTATATTCGAACTGTAGCAAACACCCTATCTCAACAATTAATTGTTGGAACGCGTTATCTCGTGAATTTTTTTTTCTCACAACATTATTTCGTAAATTCAGCCCTTATTTCTGCTGAATTCCCTTTATGTTCTACAAATTTTGATCCTTCTACTTCTTTTGTGGATTGATTATCCGGTGATTTGTTTGTTCATGAGAAAGTCATCCATAGGCCACAATACACAGGTCTGATTCAGCCATCTAACAGCAGAATTCGAGGTCGCAGTTGATAATCTTTTTGAGACTACGGAAAGGAACAACCGGTCACCACCACCATCACCATCAACATCTTCCCATCCGTATGTTGTCAGTTGAGATGAAGGTTTTTCACATATATCTTGTTTGATGGTGATGAATCTGTTTCCCAATGCTTGTTTTGTCGATATTGTTGCCGTTTGTTGCCGTAAAATCAGTCTAGAGAGCGTCTATAAACTGCTGGTTCCTTTGCGTTTGAAGGGATGCAAATAGGGTTGCTCATAATCTTGCCCACTGGGCCTTGTCGAGCAATAATCCGAGCTGGTTTTATTTGGATGAGCCTGAATGTATTAAGAACGATGTAATCCTTGATGCCATTGGTTGAATTTAATTCCCTCTTCAAAAAAATAAATAGAATGTTATACGTACCATGAAGTATCGGATAGAGTATATATCTATGTACGGATTCTTTAGAAGAAATGGTGAGTTTGGATAATGTAGATTAGTTGTGTTTTTTTATTGCTTTGACAAAATGGTCAAATGGTCATGTTGAGAACCTACATTTTCATGATGGGAAAAACCACAATAGGATTGATCGATCGAACCATAAGTCGGTAACATATTCGACTCGAGTTCGAGGATGAATAATAACTGTTTATCGACTCGACGGACTAGGTATGCCGATTGAACCTGAAAACCCTAGTAGCTCAGTTGTCTCAATTCAGATATATTTCGGTTATGAATTCGATTGTATTTTAGTCCATTTGGCCACATCTCTTAGATCAAAACCTGGTAAAACCCTAATCCATGGGCTGGCTCCCAGATTCTTGCCTTCCCAAATGCTTTTATTTGCAGTGGAATCAGGCAGACCTATCAAATATTGTTCTTATTCTTCCTTTCATGTAACTGAAAAAATTCTTATTTCCCGCTGTTATCAAGCTATTACTTTTTTAAACAATGATTAACTTTTAATAAATAAAAATAAAAACTTCATATGCCAACGCGTAAGTTTATTTTACACGAAATAAAAACTTTTAGGGTAAATTATTCGTTTAGTACTTAAATTATCAATTGTAATTCATTTTATATTTAAACTTTGAATTTTTTTCAAAATCATATCTAAATTTAGTTTATGTTTTATTTTAGTATCCCGATTAAAATTTAATGTTAACTTATGAAGAAAAAAAGTGAACCAAAATTGATAGTTTATGTACTAAATGCTTTAAGTTTTTAACGGTTGGGTACTAAAATGTATCCAAATAAATTAATAATCAAACGGTTAAGGTTTGTAATCACGTTTTTATTTTTATTCTTTTAGTTTTATACGTGTTTCTATCTTTTTATATCAAATTGTCATAATCTATGTACCCCAAAAAAAATCAAATAGTCATAATCTTAATTGAAAGAAAATTTAAATATAATTTAAATATAACTGGATTTAAATTTAAAATCTTAAAATTGAAACTTCATTACTATGATTTAGGATAATTATATATGTTTTTCTGTTTTAAAAATAAATTTAAGATAAGTTTAAATAAATAAATATGGTAAGAATGTAAATAAATGGGAAATTTAGGGTCATTAGACAACGTCCCTCATCGAATGACTCTCACACGGGCCGTTATATTTTGGACCTATTGTGATGTGACTTGCGTTACACGAAGCGGAGCCCCCTCATTTCCTCTCCCAATCACTGACTGCCACGTGATTATCGTATACCCCACCCAAGGTGCATTATTTATTTATTTATAAGTTCCGTTTAATAAAATGATAACAATATACATATGTAAAATACTTTTTATTTGAATACTTTTAAGAAGATGATAGAAATATTAAAATCAATATCGTCGATCGAACATGAAAATATATATTAAATAATCTCGATAGTAAATGAATTGTAATTATTTTTTGATGTCTCAGGTTTGAGTGCTATGAATGCTAAAGATATAAGTGTTCAATCTTAAATAGTTGAAAGTTATATTTAAACAAATATTATTTGTATTTATCTCAGTTTAATAAAAAAAATTGATAACCAATATAAGATACAAGTTAAAAAATATTAAAATTAATTGTTTATATATATATATGTTTAACTTTTTCGTATATTTCATATTTGTTTTTAATATATATATAATTTGTCGGTTTCTTTCGTTGATAGCTTTGCAGTATAACCGTAAACTCTATAAATCACAGACCCCAAAAGCATCTGCTTTTGAGTTGAAACTTTAGTTTTAAGACAAACCCACCAAAAAAATGTGTGGAGGTGCAATTATTTCCGATTTCGTTGCCGTGAATCATGGCCGGCATGTGACTGCCGATGACCTTTGGTCTGAACTTGACTTCTTCTCCGACCTCCTAGGTTTGGACAACAATGGCAAAAACCCTTTCAACCATCACCCTCACTGCACCAGCAACAACAAGTGGATCGATCCTAAAGACAATCAACTAAACAACAAAGGTCTGGTTTTTTCTTCTGGGTTTTCTTGCAAAAAAAATGTTGTGTCTGTGTTTTGTTCTTGTTCTTGCATGAACTTTGAAGCTGAGCAAAACATAAAAAGGCTTAATTATGATTTCCATCCCTTTACTTTGAGTTGTTAGAATTTGGTTGGTATTAGTCTTTTACTTATTAAACCTTTCCATTAAATCATAATTCAAAGATTAATCTACAAAGAATTAGCAAAAACTACAGTGTATACAGTGCAGGTTAACAAAAATCAACCATCTCAGTTCATGTTTTTATCAATGATTGTGAAATATAAGGACTAGATCATGAACAAATAAAGGAAAGGTACAAATTTCGCAATTTTTGTAAAGGGGTCATTTCACAATTAGACCCTTTTGTTGAGCATAAGCTACAATGTTTCAGCCTCAAGTTCATGCATGAAAAAAGAATTGATTAAAAATTTGATTTTCTTTGGGGTGATTACTGAGTAGAGCAAAGCGAGATGACTCAGAAGACAGGCCGAGTCAAAGAAAAAGCTGAGAAGACTCAGCGAACTAGGAAGAGCGTTTACAGGGGAATCAGGCAAAGGCCATGGGGTAAATGGGCAGCTGAGATTAGAGACCCTCATAAAGGCGTCCGAGTTTGGCTCGGTACCTATAACACAGCCGAAGAAGCGGCTCGAGCCTACGATGAAGCCGCTAAGCGCATTCGTGGTGACAAAGCCAAGCTCAACTTCCCTCAAGCTCAAGCCGAAGAAGAAGCTCCACCAGCCCTCACTCAGCCACCTGCTAAGAAAAGGTATATGGGTCCTGAGTTCACTCAACCGGGTTTCGAGAGAACCACAGACTCACCACCACCACCTTATCATATGGGTTTAGGGTATGGAAATGAAGTTTATAGGCCGGCTTTCGTGGAGGAGAGTGAGTTGGAGCTGAAAGAGCAAATCTCGAGTTTGGAATGTTTCCTTGGTTTAGAACATGACAATGAGATCACTACGACTCAGCTGAGTGGAAACGGTGGGAGTGAGACTGACTCAATGGAGCTTTGGACGCTTGATGACCTCGTGACACAGTATCAGCTACAGCACTAGCTTGTTTATCAGTACTAAGAAAAATATAATGATAATACTGTTTATCGTTAATCAATGTTTATGTGTTAATTACAGTTTTTATAATTTCGTTATACTATCTATATATACGTATGTATGCGTGTTTATGAGTTTCTGAATGTTAATATGTGTGTTTATGAGTTTCTGAATGTTAATAAGAAAAATATAATGACAATATTTGTGTTTATAAGTCATGTTTGAATCAATGCATTAATATATATACACGAGAATAAAGGTGTTTGTAATTGATTCATTAATTATGATTATTTATCTAGATTCATCTAATATGTATATTGTTAGATAAAATTAATGTGTTGTATACAATATAAATGGATGTTTTCAAGAAAATAAGGACAAAATAATGGTTGAATATGGTTTTGGCATAGGAAAAGTAAAAGATGTAACCCAAAACAAAGAGCATGCATGCACCAAGAGGAAAAACAAGTGATTCGCAAGTTGCTCGATGCTCTTTCTTTTTCGAGTTTCAACGATACCGACAAGACACGAAAAGCAAAGCAATCAATTGTTTGTCTCTTTTCTTGTTTGGTCTTTGATATATGACCTTTACAATAAAATTGCACGTTCCATCGCATTATTAAGGAGGCAGTCAGATACAATTTCGTGAAATATTTACATCATATTTGTTTCAATTGTGTCGACATTATTTTTCGTCCAGACGGAGAAAGACTAATATAGACTCGGAAGTTTTCTCTTTAAAAAGGATTTCGAAATGTGAAGAGTCAACACCAATCATTTAAGGTGCGATTGGGACACCATAAAAATCGGGTGATTTTAATAAAAACAGTTTATTTTTATCAAAATACCAAGTTTTAAGGTCTACGAAAATTCAGAAATCAGGTTCGAGAGTCGGTTACGCATGGGAAAGGATTAGCATCCCCACAAGCGCACAAACATTGGTACCTAGTTGATTACCCTATATTTAAAATCGGAAATTTTGAGTTCGATCTTTATTTAATTTGAAAATCATTATAGATGCAAAGTTGAAAAGGATATTCGTTTATTGAGACTGATAGCATTCGCTCCCAAGCGTAAATGCGGGAGATTAGCTATTGTGCCTAATAACCGAATATTGCCTTGTTTTTTGAAAATTATGATGCAATCTTTGAAAAGGATGTCGATCTATTTTGAGAATTACCAGTAGTCACTCCTGGAGCATGATTGCAAGAGATATACTATTAATTCCTTAGAGTTAAAAATAAAATTCAATCAGACAAAATTTATTCATCCTAATTAAACTAAAAGTAAATTAAGGCTTTTTTCTAACTTAAGGTGTCAAATTATGAAAAATTAAGAACCTGAGGGCTCAAATCTAAAAACGTAGGCTCTAATATTAATCCTATTTGATTTTTTATTAATTATTGAATCGAATAATCGAGATAGTTCCTCGAGCATTTAGGCAAGGGCCAACTCTAATTATTCCCTAAATTAAAAAGACTAAATTGAAATCTAACTAAAAATAGAGGCTATAATGTTAACCTAAATTAATTTTAAGATTCGAATAATTAAATTGCAACTTCGAGCAGAAGCGAGGACCAAATTAATAATTCTCTTAATTTAATGACTAAATAGGAATTGAATAATTAAAAGATTATGGACTAATTCTAAAAAAAGGTGATCCATCAAGTATTAAATTAAAAGGATTCGAATATTAAAGACAATTAAAATATAAAAGGACTAAAATTAAAGTACCAGAAAAATGAAAGGTAAAAATAGATAATAAAAATAGTAAATTAAAGTAATGAAATTAAAGGACAGAATTTATAAAATAGAAATACAAAGATAAAATTAAATACCAAAAATAAGCATTTAAGGGACTAAAATAGAACAATAAAAATTTATAAATCAAAATATAAATAACCAAATAAATATATTTAAAAATTTAAGGGCCAAAACTGGTATTAATAGAAACTGAAAGGACCTATATGTAAGGACTAAAATAATTTAAACCAGAAACATGAAGGACTAAATTATAATTAAACAAAATGCCCAAACTGTGACTAAAATAAAATATTTGCAAATATGGTGGCATAATTCAAATAACAACAAAGATTATACACTACATAGAATCAATAACTAAAAATAAGAATGAAAAGATAAGGGCTCAAATTCGAATATTAGCAAAAATACACAACCCATGCAACCAGAGACTAAAATGAAATAATTATAAACATTGTAACTAAAGTCAGATATTTACAAAAAATAATAAAAGATATAATGACAGGACTAAAACATAAATAATGAAACATAAGTGTTCGAAATCAAACAAAGTAAAACTTCATTAAATGTTTGAAATAAAACAATACAAGGTAACAGGGGCCTAAATAGCTATTAACCCCTAGCATGAAAATACGCTGAAGGTCCTTGGCAAAACGACATCGTTTCGCGTTATATATATATATATTTAACAATCCAAGGCTAAAACAAGCCATATTCCTTATTTGTTTTCCTTCCAAACGAGAGAAGAGAGAGAGAATCAGAAATCTCTCAACTCTCTCATGGGAAGAGAGAAAGGTCATGGCGGCCAGAGTTACCCCATGGCAACCCACGGCGGTCGTAAAAAAACAACCGACCCCAAACTATTCATCTCTTCCACCTCAAACCGAAACCCAACCGTTTATCCTAAAAAAGCCCTTAAAGCCCTAGATCTAGGCTTTTACCTCTCGAGAAATTTTAAAAAAACGGCGGCTTTTGGACTCTCCCTTGCTTTGAATCTAGGTATGTTCTTTCTCACTCTCTATTTTCTTTGTTCAGATGTGTTAGAATGGGAGGTAGGTTTTTTTGGTTTTTTTCTCTTGGTTGGGTTTCGAATATCTAGGTGTTTTTTCTCTCAAATCCCTTGAATCCTCTTGATTTTTCTCTCGGTTCACTCTCTCTTTCTCTCTTTTTCTTTTCTCTCTCTCATTTTTCTTTGAAAATCGTTGAATGATTCTTTGTTTTTTTCTTTTCAAATAGTTCTCCCCTTCGATTAGTTTTCTCTATCCTTTTATCTCCCCTTGCATGCGTTGATATAATCCCCATAAATCCCCTCAGGATTTTGATTGTGATTTGCTTCTTATTATTTTTATGGGATTTCTTTGGCTTGATTAGTGATTTGTCACTGATTGATGGATTGGTTGACTTAGGTGCAGGCGACGGCGGCAAAAACGATCGGAGATGGCAGCAGCAGTAGGCGGCGGCAGTATGAGCTACCTATGGTTATGATGAAACCCTAGGTGAGTCGGGTCGGGTTAGATCCTGAGTTGCTGGGTCGGTTTTGGTCTGGGTTTGTTATCTGTAAACGGGTTGGGCTTCAGCTGAGCTGTTGAGGTCTTGTTAAAAATGTAATTGTGATTAGTTAATAACAATAATAATAATAATAATAATTAATATTTTTTTCGAGACCTGGACAAAAAATGAGTGTTTAAAGCTGCCCCTCTTTGCACATTCTTGTGTTAAAAAGAATAGGGCAAAGACGAAAAACAATCAGTTTTTGTTCGGTTCTCTTTTTCTTGTTTTGGAAATTTGATATGTTTGTTGTTGGGGGACGACACTGCTTATACGTGATAAAGAGTTATGGCCGTCTAAGGGGTATGATGGTTTCAAGAGAAACCGTCTCAAGAGAGACAAAACATGTTCTAAGGGAAAAAATCTCAAAGGTTGGTGTTTCAAGGGAAACTGTCTCAAGAGAGACAAAATTCATTTCAAGGGAAACGATCTCAAAGATTTGTGTTTCAAGAGAAACTGTCTCAAGGGAGACAAAATTTGTTTCAAGGAAAACTGATTCAAAGATTGGTGTTTCAAGAGAAACTGTCCCAAGGGAGATGAAATTTGTCTAAAGGGAAACAGATTCAAAGATTTTGTTTCAAGGGAAACTATTTCAAGAGAGACAAAACTTTGTTTCAAGAGAAATTGTCTCAAGGGAGACGAAATTTGTTTCAAGGGAAACGGATTCTAAGATTTTGTTTCAAGGGAAAATGTCTCAAGAGAGACAAAATTTGTTTCAAGGGAAACAGATTCAAAGATTTTGTTTCAAGAGAAACTGTCTCAAAAGTGACAAAACTTTGTTTCAAGAGAAACTGTCTCAAGGGAGACAAAATTTGTTTTTTAGAGAAAATAATCTCAAGTGAGATTAATTTTGTTTTAAGGAAAATTGTCTCCAGTGAGACAAAATTTGTTATTAGGAAAATTATCTCATGTGAGATCAATTTTGTTTTAAATATTTCAAACTTTTGGGAAAATGTCTCAAACGAGATGAAGTTTGTTTTGAGAGAGGCGATCTCAAAGGATTATAGATTGTCCATTCCTGCATGTTTGAGGAAATATCTTCGAAAGATCTGATTGTTGACTTCAGGAAGTCAAAATTATGGATGGTATTGTTTTCTCAGGTTGAAGACATCTGGTCATTTTCGAGCTTTTATTTCCTGAAAGATCGAAATGATGTATTTATGACTGCCTATCTTGGATGCTTAAAGGTGTCATGATGAAGTTTGTATTTTATTTGATGAATCATTGAATTTGTCCTCAAGAGAGGCAAAATCAAAGTCTTTATTGCACATGATGATGAATGCAAATATGCAAATTTCATGTGTCATGTATGTATGTGTTGATGTATGTTTTCTTGATCTGTGAGGGGAATGGTTGCGTGAGCAGTCTTCATTTTATCCCTGATTTAGTTGTCTTCATTTCCACCAGGGTTTACTTTTGTAAACCTCGACCTGAGACAATTTATTTTCCTTGGCCCATCAAATTTTGCCCCAAAAATTTGGCTTCCCTTGTCTCGGCTTCGATCTTGAGCTTCGGAGGGATATTCGTTGAATTCCAAGATTCTTCCAGGAACTTATCTTGTTTGAAAAATGTCTTTCTTCTTCTTTTGAATTTTCAAAATTTTGAAAAAATATCAAAAAGAATTTTGAAAAAAAAATATTGACTCCTTCTAAGTTTCACAATTAAGACAAATTATAAAACAAGAGTTCATTAGATATCAAAAGAATCAATTGCTCTTTTAATCTTTGATAGCTGCAAATCTTTGACAAATATCAAGATCGAAAGGTTGGTTTTGAGGTTGGCTACCTAAATTCTAAGGTTTACTTCATCAATTTGGTCATCGTGAAGATCATAGCATGCCCCTCTTTCTTGTCTTGG